GGGGGGGTTGGAAAAAACAGGTGGGAAGGATTTCTGCATGATCACTGTAGTATTTACATAAGGGTGAGTTCAATCAATGCAGAGCCTTCCCCCACAGCCTCCTCCAAAACACACCCAGACTCTGCCCTTTTTCCTATGGAAACAGATAACGAGAGCAAAGCTGCTCTTTGCTTTTGTGGGGTTTAGCTAAAAGCTGAAAATGAGATCAGATTTTCTGACATTCAGCATTTACCTCAATAAAAACGGGCACTCAACAGGATTAGTGGGTACACAGCTCTGTGTGGGGTGTCATGAAACACATTCTCATGATCTTTCATGCTTACACAGAAATAAAATTAACAAAAATAAGGGAGAGAGAGAGAAATCAAAATCCCTCTGTGATATTGAAGATTAATGTGAAACTGAGCTTGGGAATGAGCACTGATCACTGCCTGGGAAACATGAAGTAACATTTCCAAGTAGAAACCTTGCACATATGGCAAAGGAAAGCTTTTGATAGAGTAGTAAAATGGTATTTCAAAAACTGATGTCCTACCTATCTATATTTATAAGAACACATTAAGTACTGGCTTAGCATTGTCCTCTTTTATTATTCCCTAATAAATTACAGCCCGATCACTTTTTGAAACGCACAGATCTGAGTCTCCTTTCCACAGAAGTGAAAATTAAGTTCCCACTCATGTCACCACCTCTCAGTCCCTCCCTGGAGAACCAGCTGGGTTTGGCAGCAGCAAATGTTCTTCCTCAACAACCTGCCTTCAGTCTCGAGGCAGAACCGAGGAGGTTTGTCTCAAATGAGACAAAAGGGGATGTTTCTCTCGAATAAACAACCTTGCTCTGGCTTCTCCAAGCCCCTAAATCAAAGCCCCAACCCCAAGCAAGCAGAGGAGGGATGAAAAGGTTTCTGGGCAGTGAAGGAAGCCCAAGGAAGAGGAGCTCCTGCTTTCCAGCACGGCCCCATGGCAACACAGCAGCGAGCTAAGAACACAATAAGGATCTAGGAAAAACACCACAGGCTACAGAGAAAACACTAATTCAGTCCGCTGTGTGAGGCTGCAGGTCTTGCAGTGCTGTTTCTCTACTGTAGGTCCCTCCAGCTCGTTCCTGGGCTGGAAATGCAGCCCCACGCTCAGGAAGGAATCCAACCCAGCACACGAGGAACGCCGGGATTTTCGGGAGCCTTCCCCCAGGCACCAAAAATGTTACATCCAGCCCTTGAATGAGAGGATTAGAGGTCTGGGGAGACAATTCTTGGGCTTAATGCTGCTGAGCTGAGCCTTTGCCACCCCTGCACTGCCCACCTGGTGGGAAGCCCCCGTACGAGGCGGCTTCCCCGGAGCCGGGTTGGTGTCACCATTGGAAACCGGCAGCTCTGACGTGGCCGGGACTGTGCTGGAGAGGAACACGCCTGTTTGCAGAGGGAACAGGGCTCCTCAGTCCAGCTGCCTCATCGAGCTGATGGTCCTCAATTATGCTCCCAGATCAAACAGAACTGCAAACAGCTCCCCCAACAAACCCAGCTCCGCTCAGACACCGGCCCGCGGCGATTCCACGAGCGACGCTCCGGCTGCTCTTGTAAAACTTTGAGCGTCTCACTTGTAAAGAAACCAAACATCTCTTGATTCCTGGCATGTGTTTATGAGAAAATAAAAAAGCCCTGCCTAAACAATATGGCTGGAGTTCAAAAAAGCTTTTCTGTAGAGCCTTAGCTTTGAGCACAGAAGCGCTGGAGTCAGCTGAATCCAAAGGTGTACTTGACTGTTTTGTTGAAGGATAAATTAAAACACATTCCAAAGTGCCTTCCAGAATCAGGGCCTTGATTTTAATTTTTTTTTTTTAACTCACAAAAGGGTGTAGAACTGACTAGGAATCAGCACATGCCATGGGTGTGAATAGTTGTAGCATCTGTGCTAATTCTCTTCTCATCCTGGTACCCCCCGTGCTCCTGAGTATGTAAATCTGATTCTCCTCGTGACTCCACTGAAGTTCCCATTGATTAAATCCCCAACCCAGCAGCAGGAGAATCAAACCCCACATATTTATTCTCTTCCTCTCAATGCATAAAGGATTCCCTTTGGCCTCTCAGTTGCTGGATCACATGGTGCCCTGAATGCAAAGAGAATTCCAGTGATAATGTGGCAAATGAATGCATTTGTATATGTGTGCAGGCATTTCCCTGCTCTCCACCACTAACCAGAAAATACAGGCACATTCACACACAGGAGCAGAGAAGGTGGGGGAAAGGAAGGATTTGGGGAGCATGTTAATACCAGGCTGGGGGAAAACTGACTGAAATCCTTCCAAGCTGAAGGCTGCGAGCTCAGGACCTCAGGGAACATTTCCTTTGGAGTTTTAAAGCCCAATTTGTAGACTACAGGTGCTACTTAATATTCGTGTTTCCATTATACCCTCCATTCATATAAATAAATATACATTACAACAGTTTCTAATGTAAAATATTGTGAGCATTTCCAAGAAAGAAACCAGCGACATCATTTCAAACCACTGCACAAAATACACGGGTGACATTTGCCTTAATAAGACATTTTGAATTCTTTTCAAGCATCTTTGAATTCTGTTCAGAAAAGTTATTCGATAGCAGAACAAATGCACTCCTGTAAAAACTTTGCTGATTTCAGAGTTGTAATAGCTTAAAAATGGGATGCTTTTAATTTGTTAGCACGCTCCATGTTGACTTTTAAAGTCATCCTGTAATGCTAAATAGATTGGTTTAAATCAGGCTCAAGTACCAGTGGCAAACAGAACCTGCAAAGCCAGGGAAATGTCAGGAAGAGTCTGGGTAAGATACACACCAGAACACCAACAAATAAATATCCTTGAGGAAAACCACTTTTTAGTTGGTTCCAACACTCTAAAGTGACTCGTTCAGCACAACAAATCCTACAGTCAGAAATGTAGGGATATAATATTTCCCTCAAATCAATCCCACCCCAACCCAGAGGTAAAAACCAACACAAATCAGAGTGAGAGGCCCCCTTAAAGCCGGGGTGAGAAGTCACCTACCCCGTGAGGACCACGACGAAATCCATCACGTTCCAGCCGTTCCGCAGGTAAGAACCTTTGTGAAAAACAAACCCCAGAGCGATGATTTTTATCCCAGCCTCGAAACAAAATATTCCAATAAAGTAGGGCTCAGTGTCGTCCTGAAAGAGAACAAAAATCAGGGGGATCAAGTCACGTGAACAGCTCCAGGCACCAACTTCACACCCTTTTCCACTCCCTGAGCTGAAACTTTCCTGGAGCACAAAGAGGAATTTCATTATTATTTCTCTGGAAGTAATTTTTCTTTTTTTTTTGAAATTGGGAATTCTATTTGCCTTCCTTCTGATTTTTTTCACCCCATTCTTTCCACGCAATTGTCCAGCAGGAATTTGGAAGCTGAAATTTTGCACTAAGGGCATATTTAAACTTGCTATCACATATTCCAGTGGTTATTGACATGGAAAAAGAAGTGCTTCACCATTCATCCAGGAACTCGAAACAAGAGGATATCTTGGGGATTAACAGTCAGCACAGAAAGCTTGTGAACACTGACAGGAAATTATTTATTTATCATTTATTCCATCGGTTCCTCCTTCACTCTTTCTCCTCCATTTTCTCAATTTCCACAGCCACAGTCTCATTTGTTTTCCTTTCACTGTGTGTCTGATTCAGGGAGAAAACCCCATTCCCTCTCAGCAGGAACAATAAGATTTGTGCCTCAGATCTATGGGGCAGATTTTGGGATCTCAACTTCATGTCTTACCTCCTACAGAGAAATTAAACTTAGTCTCCCCAGTTTTACTAAACCATTTATTTCATCTATTTTATATATTTATTTCATAGTCATTATTTATTTTACATTTATTAATTATGTATTTATATTAAAATATGTTTCTACAGTTTATATATTACATATTTGCAGTTATTACTTATGTTATATATTTATTTCACCTAAACCATTTATTTCAGCAACTCCACCTCCCATTCCCCTGTGGCCTGGCAAGGTGACAGTCACCTGCAGATCACAAACACTGAATGACCACAGATGTCTCAATATTATTATATTATATTATATTGTACATTATTGTATTATAC